CGATTTTGTAGATGAAGTAACTGTGGTAACGGAGGGACGTGCTCAATCGCCATAGCCATTTAGTGACAGACATGAAACCAGGATTCGGCTCTGAATGCAAGACTTATGCTCCTTCCTTGAACCTCACATGCAGTTTCAGAGGGAGGACATGACATTGGATTGAAGTTGCTTATGAGTAAGAGAGCTACTAAACTAGCTTCTGTTCTTCATATAGTAAATGTCAGCTTATTTATAGAATTAGTATGACTGTGACTATGTGGAAAACAGAGGATGGAGTAAAAATTGCCTCTAATACCACCAGCACCACCACTGCAATACAAACACAATGACTTTGAAGTGTACTTCCTTTCAGGTTCTTTCCTGAGGAATGAATAATACAAACACACACACGCATCAATGCAGGCACTGCAGATCCTGCTTCATGACCTACTTTTAATATTGAGGGAGAGTAGGAGAGGGTAGTGGAACCCCTCACTATTTACATGTGATCTTGAATAGGTTATTTAACATCTCGTGCCTCATTTTCCCCATGTTTAGAATATTAATAATATGTACCTTATGTATTACTGGGGATATTAAATTGAAGATATATGCTCAGCACTTAAAACAACTGTCAAATATTTTCTATTACATAGTCTTCAGAGCCATACTTTTTAATTATTGCATAATATTTTATTGAATTGACATAGAGGAACAAGTGGCTGCTTATCTGGTCTACTTTTGAACATTTAAATTGCTTCTAATTATCCATAATTATAGATACACTTGTGGTGAGAAAACTAATACTTACAGTCTTTTCCATAGTTAAATTATGTAGTAGAAGAAAGCAGCATGGGTAGGATTATTGGATAAAATGCCTGACTGAGTTATGGCTTTTGATTCAAACTGTTTCACTGTGCTCTACAGAGAGAGTTTTTAGAGACAGAGACTTTTTTCTCAGCCAACAGAAAGGAGCCAATGAAGAAACCAGAGACAAGTGCATGTGTCCACATCTGTATACATACATGGGAGTGGGGTGGGGAGATGGATGTAGAACATAGACTTTCCAAAGATACTTCTTAACATTCAAGGTTAACCTTGGAATTTAGAAAAGCCACTTCATCATTTTACCAGGTAAGAAAATAAAATGAGTGGAGATCTAGAGAAATTCTGAACCAAGACTGAGGAACCTTGTTGAAACACAAGCCAGATGTCTTAACTCTTCAAACTAAATGGAGATAAGGTTTCCTGCTGAGGGAGACTGAAGGGCACAGGCTGAGTTACTTTAAGGAGAGAGGGAAAGACTGAGACCATGGCAACAGTGACAGGGCAGAGGACTCTAATGCCACTCACTGCCACTAGCTTTCCAGCTTTGAATTATCTGTTACTCTCTTGGCCTCTGCTGGTCATGACAACATTGAGAGGTGAAAGGACAAAGGGAGCAGTGCTCACACAGCTGACAGTTCTCACGTTAAACATTTCAAATCTGCAAGATGCATTTTTTTTCAGGTCTACAACATATTCTCTTCGGCTGCATTGTGGGTTAGTGAGATTCATTGTGAAATTATTACTCACTGTCTTCGGTTATTCTCCTCTTTTTCTGGAAAATGGCTTTTGCTACCATGTCCCCACCAAAATTGCTCTTATTAAGTGATATCCAGTTTGCTAATTCCAGTGGTCAAAGGCAGTCTTCCTTTTGATCAATTGACCCTCCTCCAACTCAAGATACTTGGTTCTCTTAGTTTCCACGACAACAAACTCACCTCCTTTTTCTTTTACTTCACTCGTTGCTTCTTGTTAAGTCTTTCCTAGTGGTGTGTTTTCATCTCCTCAAACTCTGAATGTTGGTATGCCTCAGGCTCACGGTCCCCAAGGCCAGGTCTCTTTTCTGTCCACACCGCTCCCTTGGTTACTCACCCAGTACACGGCCGTTAAGTAGCCTCTATCTGCTGATGACGCCCACACTGTTATCTCTAGTCAGGATATCCTCCCTAGACTCTGGGCCCACACATCCAGTTGCCTCCCTCTTCTCAGATATCTGATGGGCAGTTCAATCTTAACATGTTTAAAACTGAACTCGATATGATCCTCAAACTTCTGTCTTCTCCATTTCAGTAAACTGGCAACACAAATCTTCTAGTCATTCAGGCCAAAAATGGAGTCATCTTTGACTCCTTTATTACTTTCATACCCCACAGGTAATGTCAGGAAATCCTGTCAATTCTACCTTCGAAATGAATCCAGAACCCATCTACTACTTCATGACTACTGCCATGTACTACTCTAGGAGGAGCCTTGATGTGAACATTTCACTTGATGTGAACAGTGCCCCCTGGAGCAGTGCATTGTACAGTTTGCAAGGCACTAGGTGCTTGGTCTGGTATTACCTGAGTTCAAAGTACCATCATCTCAAATGTACACTACTGAAATAGTTCCTTAATTTGGTTTTCCTGCTTCTGCCCACTTCCTGTCCATTCTCAATGGAGTAGTCAAACCAAATTTCAATAACTCGGGTCACCATTATATCTAGATTTCCAGGGGCTTCTCATCACCCAGAATCAAGGCAGAGCCTGACAATGACTTCTGAGGCCTTACTTAATCTGCCCTCTCTTCCATCACCTCTCTCACTTTCCTCACTCAGCTACAATGGTGTCTCTGTAGTTTCTCAAACATTCCAGATAAATTTTTGCCTTAGGACCTTTGCCATCTGTCATTATAGTGTGCACTTCTGTGGCTTGCTTCCCTGCTTCCTTTAGGTCTTCACACTCAAATGTCAAAGTCTGGAGATGTCTTCTCTGACCTCTCTATTTAAAATTGCATCCCATGCCCCTTCACAATTCCTGTCCCCATTTCCTGCTTTATTCTTCTTTTTAGTACTTATCGTTATCTAATATCTTATGTTTTACTAATTTTTCTTGATTATTGTCTGTGTCTCCTATTAGGATGTAGGGCTCCATGATGGCAGTGATTCTTGCCCACTCTTCTCACTGTTGTATCTACAAGGTATTTTCTCGCACAGGGAAGGCATACAATTATGTACCATAAACTGCCCCCCCCCCCAGCCATATAAACAGATGTTTAGTCGGGGCATGAAGAACTTGAAGCAGAGTAGAAAAAGAATTTGAAGGAAAGTTGGGTAAAGTAAAATTAGAAGATTAAGAATAGTGTTATGATACAACTTAACTTTCAGGATGTAGTATAAATACTAGTCATTATTATGTTCTCTGGCTCTTTGCTTTGTGGTTACCTGTGAGGATTAGATTTAAAAATCTAATACATGGAATATGAAAGTTAGAATAGGTCTCAGAGAACACCCTCACTTTAATAAATGAAGAAAGTTTTTCTTCTAAGTTGTTTTGGCAGGATTTTAAATTATTCATTATAACAAAGACATGGTCCACTTAGCTCCCTTATGTTAACATGTGACATGCACAATCCTGGAATGCGGAAACTGGCAACGAAGGTTGGGGCAAATCCTTTCACATAAATAAGACCAAAATGAAATTAGTTTCTCCCATCTACAGTATTTTGCTGTGTATAATGTGCACCCATGTTTATGTGCACACTGTACATACCTGGGATTATTATACCCATTATTATATGCATGGTGTGTAATTATTACACCCATATATAATGTGTATCCTATTTCCTTAAAAAATCTGGGCAAAAAATTATGCATTATACATGGCAAAATACGGTAAATGGTTTTAAACAAAGACTATGTCCATAGTTTTTATAATCAAACACATATTTTAAGGAATAAATGCACTGTTCCATTTTTATTAGCTATTACAATTTAGGTCATTTTGGACACTATTCCTGGTGAAAAAAATTTACAGGTTCAATTTGGTAAAAAGAGATTCAAATAGAGAAGTATTAATACACTCTTTTCAAAGAAGCCAAGAGTCAGACTTTTTAGTCTTTGGCAGATAAGCAAATCATGGACCAAATGCAGAGCTAATAGAGTTAATATGATTTTAAAAACATACTTTCCCCCCAAATAAGAATTAAGTCAATATGAAACACCATTTACTGTGTAATGGTTTCATGGCTAATACTCTTTATGTGGAGAGCTGTGTCAGACAGGGGCTGAGGTAAAGGACTGCTCTCTGACCACTCCAGCTGATCGGTTTATTTGTAGAATACAGAGTATCAACACATTTTTGGGGAAAATAGAATAAACATGCTTTTCCTAAATTTGCATTTATGTATATTTTATTTAGGGCAAAATTGAGAATTTTTTGTGAGTACATGCAGAAACTGACAATGAAAAAAGCAGGTGGCCTGTCAGTTGTGGTAAAGTGTACGCAGCTAAATGTGTGAACCCAGCCAGCATAGAGCCAGCTTCTGGTCAGCGATAAGGCCAATCAGAAGATTTACACGCTTTCTAACAGTAAGAATATTATTACCTATTTTTTTAAGAATAGAAGTTCATGTTATAAAATCTAACTTCAGTTTATATTTTTTGGTTAAATTTTGAAAACTAAAGAGAACTAGAAGACAGACTGGTTCTCACTTTTCACAGAAACTGAAGCATATACAAAAAGGATGATGTATATTAACTGTTAAACCAAATAATTATTTAGTTATTGACTGAAATCACTGGTAACACTTATATATTAAATTAATGATCCTGGGCTCAGGTCTGAGGTAACTGTGTAGGAGAGTAATTGTTTTGTGTTTCTGATTAATTTGGAAGAAAATACTTCAAAGAATATAGATTTGAAAATAATATGGAATTTTTCATGAATTCTAGACCGATTTGAATAATATGGAAATCAAAGTGGTTCTTTCTCTGGTTCCTTTGGTAGAATATAATCTTTCTCAGTATTGGTTTTTATATTTATAAAAAAGAGATACAAGTATGTATACCTAGTAGCTCTAAGATCTCTTTCAGACCTTATATTTTATAATTCTGTAAAACTCAAGATTGAAATTATTAATTTTTTACAAAGCAAAGAAAAGAAATGTGGTATTTCCTAGTTGGCCACAGTAAAAATTTTATAAAATTATTCACTTACCACAAGACCATCTTGATTTTCATTGAGCTCTGAAAGTTTGGAACTGGATTTCTGACGTTTAGGTTTGCCCCTTTCTCCAATACAGCCGGAAGTGTTTTCATGCAATTTTTCCACTTCCTGAGCACTCAACATACAATCACCAAGGTCAGTGAGCCCAGAAGGAATATTTTCTTTGTTGATACATCCCCTAGAATTGAAAGAAAATTACCTTAATTGTGTTTTGAAAGGTATAAGGGACATTTTAATGACACTGACACTGTGTCACATAGGAGTTAGAAGAGTGCCTAGAAATTCCATCTTTGATAAAAATCCGAGCAGAGTGTCACTCCTAACACCTCTTGGTGCAAAATAAATCACTGTAAAAGAGAAATTATTCCTAGAGGCAAATTGGCAAGGGCTGTGGTTCTAGCAATGAACAACTTTTGTATTTGCACCAAAAGTAATTTGTATGCAAACAGGAAGACTAGTGCAAGCCTAACAGTAATTCCCCCATATATATTTATATATAAACACACAACATATGTGTATATATTATATACACACATATGCACATATAAATTTTATATATTAATACAATGTATGGAAAAAGTCAGAAAAGGAAATATAATATCTGTTCCTGTACAATGAGACATATTGATTTACCAAATTATAAAGGCAGTTTGGCATAGTAAAAACGCATTAATATTTATCTGACTATGTTAGATAATTATGGTAGAAATAATATAATAAAAATGATGGAATACAAAACATTCTAACTGAAATACAGAGTTGTTACTTCCCAGTGCAAGGAGCTCCAGGATGTAAGCTTATTACTAGAGGTGCTTCATGACTTAGTTTTAGAAGTAGATATAAATGTCATATTTATAGAATTCAGTTTATTTAACATTCTTGAAATAGTCTGCTTTAAGTATTTAAAGCATTCCCTTTTAAGAGGTTTCCACAAAATTAAATTACTTAGCAAAATGCTTGTCTTTTTTTCCCCTTAAGTATATTTTACTGATTATGCTATTACAGTTTTCCCAAATTTTTTCTCCCTTTTTGGCATTTCCATTTCCTATACTATTCTTAACCTCCCCCTGCCTATTTTATGCCTACCAATTATGCTTTGTATTCCCTGTACCTTTTCACCCATCCCCCCTCCCTGCTGATAACCTTCCATGTGATCTCCATTTCTGTGACTGTGTTCCTGTTCTACTTGTTTGCTTAGTTTTTGTTTTTTAGGTTCAATTGTTGATAGTTGTGAGTTTCTTGTCATTTTACAGTTCACAGTGTTTGATCTTCTTCTATTTATTAGGTAAGTCCCTTTAACATTTCATATAATAAGGGCTGGGTGATGATGAACTCCTTTAATTTGACCTTACCTGGGAAGCACTTTATCTGCCCTTCCATTCTAAATGATTGCTTTGCTGGATAGAGTAATCTTGGATGTAGGTCCTTGCCTTTCATGACTTGGAATACTTCTTTGCAGCAGCCCCTTTTTGCCTGCAAGCTTTCTTTTGGGAAATCAGCTGATGGTCTTATGGGAACTCCTTTGTAGGTAACTCTCTCCTTTTTTCTTGCTGCTTTTAAGATTGGCTCCTTAACCTTAATCTTGGGTAACTTAATTTTGATGTGCCTTGGTGTGTCCCTCCTTGGGTTCAGTTTCTTTGGGACTCTCTGAGCTTCCTGGATTTCCTGAAAGTCTATTTCCTTTGCCAGATTGGGAAGGTTCTCCTTTATTATTTGCTCAGATAAGTTTTCCACTTGTCACTCTTCCTCTTCCCCTTCTGGTACCCCTATAATTCAAATGTTGGAACGTTTAAAGATGCCCTGGAGGTTCCTAAGCCTCTCCTCATTTTTTAAAATTCTTGTTTCTTCATTCTTTTCTGTTTGGTCATTTTTTTCTTCCTTCTGGTCCACTCCCTTGATTTGAGTCCTAGTTTCCTTTCCATTACTATTGGTTTCCTGTGCATTTCTCTTCATTTCAATTAGTTTAACCTTCATCTGTTCTTCTAATTTGTGACTAAAATCAACCAATTCTGTGAGCATCCTGATCACCAGTGTTTTGAACTGTGCATCTGATAGGTTGGCTATCTCTTGGTCACTTAGAATTATTGGCTCTGGGGCTTTGAGCTGTTCTTGAGCCATGTTTTGGTCTGTTTGTACCTGTTAGGTATGAGGGGTGGAGCCTTAGGTGTTCACCAGGGCAGGGTGACCCAGTCTCTGGGTTGTGATGCTGTTATGTGGGGGTGGGGTCAGAGAGGGGCAATGGCATTTGTTCTGCTCTCTCTCAGATTTCGGTCCCCTTCTCTGCTTCCCACAAGCAAATTTGGCCCCCCTGGTGCTGGCTCCCGGGTGTGTGGGCCTGTGCACCCTCCAGGATGCTGTGGGTCTCTCCAACAAACTCTCTGTGAGCCTGGGAGCTTCTCCTGGCACCCCGAACCTAGAGGTTTTTCCAATGCTGTGGCCCTAGCCTGAGCTGTCTGTCTCACTGCTAGCTCCTCTGCCTGGTTTATCTGAGTGCGAATGTGTGACTGTTGTCAGCCAGCTGCCTTGCACCCTCACTGGGTCTGCCCGTTGCCACCCCACACCTGGGATCTGCCAACTACCACCTGCGCTCCTGGGTCAGTCCTGCTCCTGCCTGAGCCCGTTCTGCCCGCCGCTGACTCCACCCCTTACTGGTCTGGATGAATGGTTCGTTGTAGTCAGACTTCCGTACAGTTCAATTTTCTGTGTTTTGGTTGCGTTTTTGTTACTAAAACTTTGTTGTCTTTAAACTTGGTTGTGTGAGGAGGCACAGTGTTTCCACTTATGCCTCCATCTTGGCCGGAAGTCTCTCCTTTTTTTTGAATTTTTATTTCTTCATTCTGTTCTGGTTGAATGTTTATTCCCTGCTTTTGTTCTAAATTGTTGATTTGAGGTCCGGGTTCCTTCCCTTCACTGTTGATTTCCTGTATATTTTCTTTTATTTCACTTTGGATAACCTTCATTTCTTACTTCATTTTTCGACCCAGCTCAATCAATTCTGTGAGCATCCTGATTACCAGTGTTTTTAACCCTGTATCAGATAGGTTGTCTCTCTCTTTGTGCTTTGCTCTTTTTCTGGTGTTTTGGTCTATTCTTTCATTTGGGCCATATTTCTCTGTCTTGCTGCACTTATTATGTTGTAAGGAGCAGAGCCTTAGGTACACTGTAAGGAGCAGAGCCTCTTTACTTCATTGTGGCGCTGTCAGTGGGGGAGGGGTCAGAGAGGGAACAATGTCCCTCTCTTGCTCTGCTGTATCCCCACTTTCCAATAACCCTGCTGTGACACTGGGAGTTTCTCTCACCTTCGCAACCCCCACAGGATTTTACAGCTAGCTATTTTGAGTCTTTAGTTTCCCGGTCAGCTAGTCCCGGCCTCACCTGCCAGGTCTGCTGCCTTGCTGTGGGTCCTCTTCACCTGGCTGCCTGTCTCTGCCTCTCCTACCTACCAGGATAGATGAGTATTTATTTAACATTTTGCTTGTTGAGTTCTGTGCAGTTCGATTTTCTGACAGTTCTGGATGTTTATTGTTTTTAAATTGGTTGTTACCCTTCTTTTGGTTGTGTGAGGAAGTGAAGCATTTCTATGGGAGAGGGGTTGTTACCTATGCCTCCATCTTGGCTGGTTGGTTGTCTTTTACTACATCACAGAGCAAATGAAACCATCAGTGTAGTGCCGAGAAGGTACAAATGAATGTGATTTTACCCTTCTTCATGGTATGACTCTAAAGGTACCTTCTTAAGCACCCAAAGCTATATTTTAAAATAAATGAACTCTAAAGAGTGAAATAGATGACCATATTTTACTATCAGTTCAACCATATCCAAAAATGAATGATAACATTAAATATTTATTCTATAATCTAAATTCATATTCAATCTTACATGAACTGTAGTGAAGCAAAATTATGACTTAATATTATCACACTATTTTCAAAGTGATATTGTATTATCTTCTGTGATTTTTAATATTCCATATTTAATTTACTCTTTTTATATAACTTTTAATGTAAAAATACACAGATTTAGTAAAGTTATACAAAAGATATGTGCAACATTTATAGAAAAATCCTAACGTAAAAATAGGTGAAGACATCTGGGAGAGCTGACAGGGACTAACACGCCAGCAGATATACTCATGCACATATTCTCAGATAGCTCCCCTCCATGCACCAAGAGCAGTGCCTGCTGTGGATGGTGAGAGGAGTTTGTTCTGAAATTCAAAACTATTTGTTTTACTATTTAAATTCTGTCTTGTCACTCTTCATATTTTCCCTAACTCTGGGTTATAAATCCAATTATACATTTTTAATGGAGGGGTTTTACATTTTAAAGCTGTTATAGAATAAACTGAATTCTCCAAATTCATGTGTTGCAGCACTAATCCCAATGTGACTGTATTTGGAGATAGGGTCTTTAACGAGGTAATTAAAGTTACACGAGGATAAGAAGGTGGGGAATTAATCTGGTAGAACAGGTGTCCTTATAAGCACAAGAAGAGGGAGAAACACGAGGAGAGCACACACATGGAAGACAGGCCATGTGAGGACACAGTGAGGAGGCACCATCTACAAGCTGACAAGAGAGGCCTCATCAACCCTGTCAGCACCTTGATCTTGGACTTCCAGAGTCTTAGAACTGTGAGAAAATAAATTTCTGTTATTTAAGCTCTCTAGTTTGTGGTACTCTGTTATGGTACAAAGTTTACTTTAGAAGCTTTTGAATAGTAAATGAATGGCTGGAATAAATCCTATTAAAATAAATATATGAAAATCTGATTGTGCAGGTATGTTCATGTGGAAATCCTGTTTGCAGAGGAAAGTTTTTGCTGTTGTGTGAGTCAATGCCTCTCACCGCAGGACCTATGTGAGTGTGAGGAGCACTGGTACACAACTCCTTCCTTCCTGCAACATTCTGGGAGATTTCAATCATACCTGACATTGCTTACCTATGACTTGACCTTAGATCTCTGTGGCATCTCACTTTTACTATCTAGATCTCATGTTTTGTTCTTTTTCAGAGCTTCCTCCTTACCCCTACATATACATTTAATGTTCTAGCAATACTGAACCATTAATTTTTCCCCCAACATAGCATGCTTTTTTTACTTTGCAGTTGGAATTCAATATAATATTTACATAATAAAAGTTTTCTAGTTCATCACGTTTTAGAACATTAAAACCATTTTAAAATTATGCTTTGCCTTAAAAAATATTTATTATGATATTTTCATTCATTGCAATGAACTTTCATATACCTGTCACCAAGATTCCACATTTCCATGCACCCAGAAGACTGTAAATCTTTGAACTGAACCCTTTCATGTAATAAATATATTGTCTAAGTTTTTATGTTTTTATTGTAGCAAATAATAATATAAGCCTGATATTATTTCCTTATGAATTTAGACAAATAAGTAATCATGTACATTAAAATGAAGTATATATTAATTTAGTCTTAATTTCTGTATTGCTTATTTCAAAAATCTACTATTATAACTTTAGTATAGATTGTACTGCCTCACCAATCTCATCTCCAAATATGGTAACCAATAGTTTCAAGGATTTTTTTAAAAATATGGCTGTAGCTGATATGTTGAGGCAAAATAAGAGTAATTTAAAAAATTCCTATTTTTCATCAGATTTTTAACCATTATATAGGACTAACAGTTTAAAATGGAATATATAGTAAAGTCTAGATTAATCTTTCCTAATTTTTCAAGCAAATCCTCATGAAAATGTCAGATAAAGAGTCAATTACATATAAGCATATATTGAGAAAAGCATGCTTACTATAGGCTATAATAATAATTCCCAACTTTCTCACAATTCATGCCTTGTTAGTGCATCTCCTGGGACACATACGAAGACTTTCATGGGGGAAAAAGTAGGAGGTATAGGTCCTGAGAGATAAGGGCCTCGCTTTCCAAAGACCTAGAGAGCTCAGAGAAGTGGTTCAGTATAGGCTGGGAGTTGAGGAAGGAACAGCAAGGAATGATAGTGACCCAGGGTCAGTTTAGGAGAGAGCCTCCCTTGGCCTTGGCCAGGTAGCTCCATTGGTTAGGGCACTGTTCTGATATGCTGAGGTTGCAGGTTCAATCCACGGTCAGGACATATGCAAGACACAACTAATGAATGCACAAGTGAGTGGAAAAACAAATCAACGTTTTTCTGTGTCTATTAAAAAAGAAAAAGCAATATCCTTGGACTTGGAAAACTGTATGTAAATCTGCAGGAGAGGCTACCCTGTGTTTCATATTGTTCTCCTTGTCTAGCTTCTATTCGTTTTTGACCTTGACCCACTGCATTCCTCCCGTCTGAGGCCATGCACTCACTGCCACCATTACCACTGTCCGATTCTCTCTGCCGGCCTCACTACTACTTCCAACCCCCGCTGGCTACCCCTCTGTCCAAAAGAAGAGGGTGGGTGGAAAGCAAGCTGTTGTGACACACGAAGGGTGCTTTAAAAATGCAAAGTGTTGCTGCAATTTGGCAAAAAATGAGGCAGAGGGTAAGAACAATGTTAAATGAATAATTTGTACTTGCCATATAAGACAATATAAGCAGTCCACAAACTAATCATACACCTAAACACTGCCTATAAAGCTCGGTCAGTAGCTAATTTAAAATGTAAATCTTCTGTATCATAATTTTTCTTTTTTTTGTGGGGAATGTTAGAGCAGTCTGTCCTCTTCAGCAGTTCCAACACGGATGTTTTTTATTTTTTGAAGTGCTGATTATCTAAACCTATTTGGCATTATATAAAAATATATGTAAATGAAACCACTGTTTATTAAACTTATACAGTGATATATGTCAATTATTGCTCAATAAAAATGAAAAAAAGTGCTGCTTATGTCACTTGAAAAGCTAGCTGGTTATACCAATGATACTGTCTTACTTCTAAAATTACAGTGTTAATACAATACTTTAGTGATTGTGCAGCATGAAATTTATTTATACCATTTATCTTCTGTGTTTTTCTTTAAGCAACAAGAAATCTTCTTTCTTTTTTTACTAAAGATTTTGATGTAGAGTATGAGTCCAGGTAAGAAAGAATGATGGGGACTGGGGTATAGTTTAGTCTTGACATGTAATAATGAGGTCATGACCATAACTTTATGTAGTACCTAAATGCTACAGTAGATAACAATACTAAAGCCTTTGTGAAAATATATTGTCTATTACATATAAATTTATCTTCCTTGACAATTTAAATGATGATTATTCAATAATTGTTCATTTGTATTTATCAAACTTTTAACTGAGAATAAAGTTCCTTGTAATACTATTCTTGAAATTCATGCAGTGGGAATGCCTTAAAAAGTCATATTATAATAAAAAATAATTCAAGCTATTAGACTTAGACTTAGGCTCAACCTTCTTTATACTAAAACATAATCAACTGTCAGTATTAGAGAGATATTCTAGTATTTAATTAGGTCAATATAGTAGGGAAATATGCTGGTTCATATGCTAGTGTAACAAGCCAAGTGAATGCTGTCTAACAAGAAAAAAACACCTCTGGACAGGCATATAGCAATTTACTCCATTTTTCCAGGATTCTTTGAAATAAGATGTTCACAAGGAAGCTATGAAATACATTAAATCAGAGGTGGCTTCCTACAACATGTCAAATTAAGACAAAACTGAAATGTTTACTCAACTACCTATGAATTTCAAAATGTTGGCTAAATTTAGAATGGTTAAAATGAAAGTTTTTTAAAATTCTAATTTTAATACTGAATGAGAGTGACTATGGCAGTGTGACAAACTCGGGTGTATATTTTTGAAAGAAGAGAAAACACAAACAAGTACCACCGACATGACTCACATGTCTCTGCCACATCGCACTTCATCCTGCTCCTTGGATGGGTGCCGTCGCTGTCGGGTGGATGTGGTGGGAAGTGCTGGGGATGGTCCAGATTCTGAGTCCTCTGAGGTTTGGCCTCCAGAGCTATTAACATCAAAAAGATGCTGTTCTACGGCCGACCGGATAGTTCTTTCTAAGAGTCTAGTTAGAAAAAAAAGAATACAGAATGATTTAAGCAATCGAGTTTATCAGTGATTGCCTTTAAAAATATGTGCCCATAAATATGAAAATAGTGGTATTCTAATGGAAGACCTACCACAACTTCACGAGCAAAGATAGTATATGAGGCACTCACCTCAACCATATTTGCATTGTGTGTTAAAAACAAAACTAAACTGAACAAATCCCACCAATCTGATAACTGTGTCTCTCCTCTTTCTGAGTCCAGTATCACTGAAACACCCACAACAAGTCTAACAACAATGATAGGAGGCAGTCAAGAAATGAGGTCATTTAATATAAGGCAGAATGAGGAAAGATTTTTTTTCCTCATAGAATAATAATGGACCTATTCTTAAAAAGGTGAGTTTATTCCAGAATTCAAACCAGTTTTGCAGAGGACAGTACGAATTACAAAAAAACCCTGCACAAATAATTTTATGATGCCTATTATCTATTTAAAGTTCTTTTGAGATAAAATTATACAGGGAGTAATGCCATTAACCAAAGAACACCTCACCAGAACGATTACTGCTCATAACAGAAGAGCAAAATCTTTCTGAACCTATTCAGTTAAATGGTGATACATATGATTGAAGCTGTATTCATACAAACACCCCAATATATATTATTGCAGATGGAAGAATAGGTTTATTTCACTAAACCTGAGAAAAATAGTGAAGCACAGGGGCTAAAAAGAGCGCATGATAAGGCAGCATTTTTAGAGCCAGATAATCTTCCAATGTGTCTAAACCTTTCATTAACACAGCAATTTTGAATATGCTGACACTAAAAATTCCAAATTTATACTCTTCAAAATATTTTCCTCCATTTGAAAAAAGAACTACACCCAAACCATCAAATTGTATACATTAAATATGTGTAGTTTTTTATGTCTCAGTAAAGCCATTAAAATTAAAAGAACCACATATATATTTTTAAATGTTCAGATTGAGAAAAACATTCATTCAAATGAAATGGATTTTAGAAATTTAAGAACTTTAGATTTTTCAAATATAGTTTTATAATAAACTCACTGTAATTTTATTAAAACTATTTCAAGACAATGAACAAGTATAGTCTAACTTGGGCATTAGAACTTTTATATTTAGAAGTCCTTGTCCCAATAATTCAAGATTACTAATACTAGGACACAGGGATGTGAGTACATAATATGTACACACAGACCAACCCCACACCTTTTCCAAACTACACGAGACATATAACAAATAAAGGTTATTAGGAAACAAATGGGCAAGAACATATCAATCTTAGTACAATTCTAGAATCTCTTTAAAATTCCGAAAGGTTAATAAGAGGTAAATTTTGCCTTCTGATTGCTTCCTCACCTAATGAAAAAGTAAAAAAACCCCAAATTCATCCTATTAGATCCAAATTCATAACAATGAATACTTCTGCTAATTCTTTTCCTCTTCATCACATCACATCTTCCTCTCTTCCTCCACCTGGCCCCTGTTGATGGAGGATGCTCCAAAAAGGCCCACCCATGTCTCAGCAGGGAAAATCTTTGGGCAAAGGACTGTTTACAAACACTTATTTAGTGACTAATATATACCAGGCATCTTTCTAGGTGTTAGGAGCACAGCCATGAATATGGCAACATATACATTGCTTTGAGGAGAGACAGATAATAAACAGATTGTGAAATGTCAGATAGTGATAAATTTTCTACAAAATAGAGTACAGGGTTGGAGAGTGTGAGTAGTCAGGGGTGACTTCTGGAGTAAGGAGACACTGGAACAAAGAGGTGAATGATGAGAAAGTGAATGTCCAGGCTGAACAGCCAGTGTAAGGGCTCTGAGGCAATACGAGTATATGGTTGGCCTTCGCCAGAAAGAGAAGGTCGTGGGCTTGAAGCACAATGAACAATGTAGCTGGATAGGTAGGCGAGCATAGGTAACAGAGGTTTGTTTAGAGTTCAGTCGAAGTGCAGTTGGTAGCCCTAGGAGGAAAAGACACGTGATGGACAAAATTAACCAAGTGCTGCCGCTGCCCTGTGGAAAAAATGATGTGTTGCTTTCTTTTCTAGGCTGCTATTAGCCTGAAGGCTGAGCCCGAGGCTCATTTGACCTCACACACCTAACACTGTGCTTGGCATATTGTAGGCGCACAATAAATGGAGGCTGATTAAAATTATCAAAGGAAGACGTAAAAGGCAGGGTTAAACTTTAACCTTTAATTGCATCCTCTGTTGCATCATACCCCCCAGAACACACAAGACTGCTTTGCAAATATTGACCCTGACATTATTTAGACTGAAATGAATACAAATCTCATGTTGAAATGGTAAAGCTGTCTCTAGTCACACCCCCACGACAGAAAATCAAATAGGGATATTTCTTACTTAGTGCTCTCCTCTTGTGTAGTTTTCAAAATCATTTGGTTGCTTATTGTATTAATCTTCAAATACTATCCAACATTAGAATTGCCTTTTTTTTCTGTTTAATAAGTGGGCAAGGATAAGGAAAAACAACCCCTTACATTCAAGTAACTTACTCTCCTGTGGTTGGAGCACTGCTGACCTGGGATACACGGGCGCTGTGGAAAAGAAGCGAAGAGAAAGAGAGTCACACGGATGGAGGACCAGAGGCCGTGAACCAAGCATCTGAAGGGGATTTCAGGCTTAGAGTATTGGCCAGGCCCTGGAACAATGTTTATCCAGCCCCTGATGAATGCTGATTTTCACTGGTTTCTAGAAATGGAGATGGCCCTGGGTATTTGCTCCAGAACAGCGTTTTTCCCCCTCTATTTTAAAGATGTCCATGACAAGACAGTTTCACAAGTGACCTTTGAAAACTCTACCTTTTACCCTACTGCTATGGTCTTAGTTCAGGGTCTTTTTATTTTCTCCCAAATGTGAATGCAGTTCTGCTATCTTTTCACTACCAATTCTACCCATTCCCCGTTCTTTCCAGCCCAGTTACCTGTCCCTTCCTTGCCCACCTCTCCAGGCCTGTACACAGAAGCATCTTTCTAAAACTGCTCTGGACATGAAGATAGCAGCAGGGACCCTAGGGAACAGAGGACAAGGAACCAACATTGTTTTCTACATGACTATTTCTAAACCATCTTTCCAACCCATCTTTCCTTCCTAAATTCCTCAAGATATACCACACCTCAAGTTTTATGTTTCATCTTAACACCTTATTTACAGCTGTTTTGTCAAACATTTCTAAGCTTCCTCTACATTCCTATTTTTTCTAAAGCCTGAATTTTTTGAAAGTATTAAAAAGTCGTCAACATAAAGTGGAATGGTGAAATTATAGAACACTATTTGATTAGCACCCTTCATGACGTCACCATCTTGCCTGCATTCTATGTTTATGTAACCACAGGCAGGGGTGAGGCTGGCAGCTACTGTAACCATATCAGTGTCCACACTTCCCACTGCAGAGCTGTCCAGCCTTTTGGCAGTTCTGGGTCACAATGGAAGAAGAGTTGTCTTGGGCCACACATTAAATACACTGAGATGTGTAATCACGGAAATATCTCATAATGCTTTAAGTAAATTTATGATTTTGTATTGGGCCACATTCATAGCCATCCTGGGCTGCATGCAGCCCATGGGCCACAGGTTGGACACCCCTGCTGGGGCTTAGTCAACTTCTAAATCAAGATTCAAAAGTATCTATGCTTAAAAGAGGAGACTAAAAAATCTTTAGTGTATGTCAAAGTATAGTTTTGCCTAATAGATTTGTTCTCTCCCTTTTCTTCCTTCTTTACTAGATCACACCTAAAAAAAAAAAAAACCTGTTAATGACCAATACTGATGGTTCCCTTTCAGTCACTCTAAACATCCTCATTTTTAGGGCATACTTTTCAACATATGAATATGCTGCTTTGGAATCATTGGTTGAGTTTTTCTTCTATGTACATGTATAGCTCATTTCTTACAACTCGAGAGTCTAAGTGCCCCCAGGGACTGTACGACATCCCTCATTTCCTTTCATTGGACTCTCTACCACTACCACCACCTTAATACCCAACACAGTATTTATTATCCCAGAGAGGACCAACAGATACTCGAGAGAATTTCTGGTTAAAGCTCCAGATCTTTGTCATGGCCACAGACCATGTTCAAATCCCCCCCCAACCACCTCAAATAGTGCTATAGTGAACAAGGGAAACTGCTGAGGTGAATCTTCATGAATAACTAAATCAATGAACAAAGAAATAAATATACCCTAACACTTACCAAGTACTATGTTTCAGACACTGTGCTAAGTATTTTTTAGATTTTCTCATTTACTATTTACAATAACCCTGTGAGGTAGGTTTTTTTGTTTTCTCTTTGTAAATTTTTTTTAAAGATTTTATTTATTTATTTTTAGAGAGGGGGAAGGGAAGGAGAGAAACATCAACGTGTGGTTGCCTCTCAAGCGCCCCCTACGGGTGACCTGGCCAGCAACCTAGGCATGTGCCCTGACTGGGAATCGAATCTGCAATCCCTCAGTTCACAGCCTGTGCTCAATCCACTGAGCTATACTAGCCAAATCTTCTCTTTTAAAAAGATCTTATTTATTTATTTTAGACAGAGGAGAAGGAAAGGAGAAAGAGAGGGAGAGAAACATCAATGTGAGGTTGCTTCTTGTGCACCCCCTACTGGGGACCTGGCCCGCATCCCAGGCATGTGCCTTGACTGGGAAGCAAACCAGTGACTCTTTGGTTACGGGCTAGCACTCAATCCACTAAGCCACACCAGCCCGGGAGGTTCTATTGTTTTCTTTCCCCCATTTTCAGATGAAGAGGTTAGAGAGGTTCAGTAATTTGCTAAGTCATGAGCCAAGAAATAAATGAGTTGGGATTTGAACCAAGAAAAGTTTTAGCTCAGAGTCTAAGCTCTTAATCACTACACTAGACTTTAAATCACTCATTCACTAAAAGAAAAACTCACCAGAGTCAGTTTTGAATATGCAGCCTTGCATTTAGGTATTTTACTTCGTTTTCATCACAAGCATTTCTCCTCTGCCTCACAATGCCTGTTATTCACCGCGGAACCCGCGTTATATAACCAGCAACAAATCCATTGCTGGTCTGTCCTTAAATGGAACAGACAGTCCCTGCTTTGATGCTTTGTGGCTTACCCTCTGTAAATTCAACACCGTATAATTAACTCCCGTACTTTGCTTCATAATGTAGTCATACACCCTTGGTTTGGGAGCAGGGACCAATGTGAATATGACTGGGGGGATATAGAAGAGAAAAAAGAATGTGAATGTTAGATGCTGAAAATACTCCAAAGATATGCAGGTATAATGAACCAACTAGCCCCCATGCCATCTCAGAATGAGGAGACAGATCTCCTCTCCTTCCTTCTGTGCACTTTGGACCTGAACTTCTTTTTGCTTGTTAAAGGAGACGCTGATATTTTATGTTCCTTTTTTGGGGGGTATGTGTAGAGATGAAAAAAGGCAGGCAAGGAAGAAACAGAGAAGGAAATGGCAAGAAACAGGACCAAGTTCTGAAATTATTAACTAAGTGCTTCTCAAACTTGAATGTGCATCAGAATCACCTGGGATCTTGTTCATACAGATTTGGATTCAGTTGGTCCGGGCATACAGAAGGGAAAGCTGAGATTCTAACAAACCCCCCAGTGATTCTGATGCTGGTCATTTGTGGAAGCCACTGATTAGCAAGGTCCTAAATCCCCGAGACTAAAAATTCTTCAAGACTTCAATTCCTAATAAAAAAACACAAACAAGCAAGCAAAATATAATCAGGGACATTGAAATTAAGAACAAATTCACAGTAACCAGAGAGGAGGTGGGAGGGGATAACAGGGGCAGGGGAGGGGGAAGGGTTGTCAGGAATAACTATAAAGGACCCATGGACAAAATCAAAGGAAGGTAGGATTGAGGATGGAGGGTGGGGATGGCTGGGCTGCAAGGGAGTGGTGAGGAAAAATTGGAGACAACTGTACTTGAACAGTAATAAAAAATGTGAAAAAATCATAGTGAAACATAATGAAATATTACTTTAAAAATTAGTATGAAATAAAACTTTCTATATTTTAGAAAAAGGTAAGTATAAAAAATAATTGTACATTTTTTCCCTAGAATCTATATAATTTTTCATTAATTCTCTATTTGAAGAAACTGTATTATGAAATAAATAGTAATTATACATTTTATCCTATATGTACATTTTGAAAAAATGGAATGTACTTTAAACAGCATAAATATTAATAAATTAATAAAAATTAATTTTCTTAAAAATGACTTTAATTCCTTAGGTACAATGATAGCTATTTGTAAATATTCTAATCTAATCAATGAAGGTGAGTTGGAAAACTTATGCTAATCTGAATGAATAAAAGGCAACATATAAAATTCCCCTCACAGCTAAAAAAAAAAATGACCTGAACCATCAAAATCAGTCTTAAAACGCCTTTCTCAGAATGTAAAATTAAATGAATAAATTAGTAATAAAGCCAACTAATTAAATCATGTTCATTTTTACTAGCATATTGATCTTAGGTCAAATTTATGACAAATTTATATTCAATTATTTCTTTAACTATCTTTTGGAAATTTTTGTATACTTAATGTGTCCATACTTTCATATTTTTCTAATTTCTCTAAAGAAAGTATTCTGGGAACATTTTTTCCATTGGTAATCAATCAGAAAGGAGAAATTCTGGTCTTAGTCCTACAGTTAATTAGCTGAAGTCACAGACTGTTGGTTAGTTTGGCTGCACTGGGTTGGTTTCTTCACACAAAAAATGAAAGGCTTGGCTAGTAATCTCTGAGGTTTTCTTTTAGTTCTAAAAGTTTATTGCCCTGAAGTTTAGATCATTATAAAAGGTTATAATTGCATATTTAGTCTTATGAGACAGTGTCAGTCACAGTTATAGTTTATTAGATACCAAAATGTCTTTGTTGAGGAATCCTTCTATCTCTGTAGTTCCTGGGGGATGCGCTTAACAACTCACCAGTAAGGGTTCTAAGAATATTTAATGTCTGACAGGGATGCTTCCACAGCTATACCTGCTTCCTGGAAGTAATCTAAGATATTGACAGAAAGGTGGAAAGCAAATAAAAGCTAAAGTGAAAGACAGATTTCCTTCATCTACACATAGTTTGTTTTTTTATCCTCTGCAAACAGCTAAGAATAGTGAATTTTTCATAGCCTTGACTGATTTGCTAAGAAAAGTTCTTACTTACACAATATTAAACACTTGAATAAGGAGTTCATTTCCTAAGGTTGATAAAGCAAGTATTCAAAACTGAAAGTAATAGGCCCATGTGCAGACTCCAGCATTATGGTCAATGTGATCACCCAAGCCTACTGCAAGTGATGAGGCAACTGAATCTTCTATTGCTATGACCATTTAAAATGAATTCTAAGCCTACTCTGAGATAAATGTATGATATATTTAAATACATTTAGTCTTTATCTCTGTTAGCAAAACCAAATTGGCATTTCTGTAAGCTGATTATGCTTAGCAGTATTAGTACATAAAAACTGCATATAAGATGCCCAGATGCCTGTTGACAAGTGAGTATTTAAAATTAGACTTCTTGATTTGAAATCAAGAA